TGTTTTTTTTGTTTTTGTTTTTGCAGCATTTCTTTTTCCTTGGGACCAAACTTTGTAAGTGGTGGTTCAGGATGAGTTCCTGCTATGGTTCATTGCTAATGCACAGCTCTGCTCCAAAGGTCTTAGTTTATCAAACTGAATCTTGTAAATAGGCAAGAAATGCAGAAGAAATTCAGACAAGCTGTCAGGCGAGTTTCCTTAGGTTGGCTGCCAAGCTGTTTTATGTTTTTTTTCTTTTTTTTTTTTAAACAAGTTACTTCATCAACCTCCTTGTTTCAGTAGTCTGTCAGTGTATCTCGAAGAGACACATTTTTAAATCTCCAGATAAACATAGCTTGATCAAAATAAATAAAAAAACCCCGAGCACTTAAGTTTCAGATTGACAGTGAAACATTTGGCTCATTGTTTTTGCACCGACAAATGTTACAAAAGGCTTAAAAAATTTCTGCTGCAATTGTCAGCTGATAATATTTTGGAAAGTGATGTTTTTTTCCCCAGCTCACAATATGTTATGTAAAGGAAGTGTTATATCTTTAAGGTTTGACACAGCTTGATGTTTTGTTGCTTTTAGTTTTGACTAAATAGAATAAGAACTATAATGAATTTTGAATTATGAAAAATGGGAATTTTGAATCTCAGTATCTTAGATCAGGGATTGGTTCAAAAATTTCCTTGATAATAAAATATGTAATAAAGAGCAGATGAATGGAAAGCTGTTGGGTATTTTAGCCTGATTTTTACATGGGAGTATTCTCTGTATGGCAAAACACAAATGGGTCTTCATCACAGGATCATCAGGATCATCCTGTTGTGTAATGTTGATGTCCTTCACACCACGTCTCCAGTGATGGGGTCCCAGTTGTGTGTGAGACTTTCTGGTGTTTTTGTAGTTAATAGGAAATATCAGAAGTTTCTGAGTGGTCAATGTAGTGGACTTGGACCTCTCGTGTTACGAGTTTAAGGTGTGCAGCTATTGGATTCACTTAAGCTGTACTGGAGAGTACACACATTTATGATCCACAGTGTGATGATTTGATTGCTAAGGTAACTTTTACTAGTTTTGCCTTTATGGTAATGGTAAGTTTCCATTCTGATGCAACAGGATAAACCACAAAAGATGGCAGGTGCAGTGCCAGAAACCTGAAAGGACTAGGAAGTCACAGCAAAATGAATTTCTCTATTCATGTTTTAGTTAATTCTTTTTTCTTGCTGAATGTTGAGCGATTCCTGAAATACACCTCAAATTTCAATTACAATTTAAGATACATAAAAGGTATTTTATATTCAGCATAGATAGTACAATAAGCAAACTGAACGCAGCTCAAGAGATGAGACGTGATTCCACACAGATATGTCTTTGTGCATATGTAAATGCACTCTCTAATATAGTAGATACAGACTCCTTTCTTATTTATCCCCCTTTGCAGTTGCTTTGGTGAGCAGAGAATGTAATAGGATAACAGCTTATTCACAATTTCTCAATTATGTTTTAGTAAAATGTGTTGAACACGGGAACAATTGCTCGGCTTCACAGAGACTTCCTGTGGTCGTTGCTTTCCTGGCTGTGAAATTGGTCTGCCCTTGGTCATCTTCCACTGATGCTGTTTGAAAACCTGCAGGCTACAGAAGGCCTGAAAGAATTGATGTGTTTTGATTGTACTGAAGTTAATGGATGGAAAACTCCAGTCGTTCTTCGGACTGGAAATGTTCTAACCCCTCAGATTTTTTTTTCTTCTGCAAGACAGAGAAGGAATAGATTTTGGTAGCAGGCAGTGGAATGAAGTCTGAATCAGCACAGATGAGAAGAGATTTTGTCTTATAAAAGGAAAAGAAATGCTGACTGAAATCTAAGTACAGACCCCTCCTAGAGTTTTGCTCTGAGAGGGAGGGTTGGTGGCTCTCCAGTGTGTGAGGAGTAAAATTTCAGGTCCTCCTAATATTCTTCAATCTCTTGTCATACTTGTGGTCTTTCCTGTGATATTTAAAGGTGATTGAGTCCTTGACGTCTTTTAAACCCAATTTTTTCTACCCTGAAAACATTTATTTTGGATCTTTCAATTTCTCAATATTCATCTTGAAATACAGGTGACAGACATGATTTTCCATGGTGATGTCATCCATGTCACTTCCAGAGACAATACCCGCTCATTTACGACGCGGGGGCTCTTTTGCTCTGTCTGGTGCTTACTTGACCTGTCAGAACTGCACGCTATTTTTAGAACTCCAGTTTACAAATTCACCATTGCACCTGGTTCCTTTTTGGAGTTGATGCTTCATAGGATGCAAGACGTTGTTGTCTTCAGCAAGCACTACCTTTTTACTTTCTACCTGGATAAAAACACAGAATGATTACACCAGCTGAGCCCAGTAGTTTATCTCTGATAGCAGCTGATAGCAGGTCTAAGATAGTCTAAGGCAGAGTCTCTTCCCAGAACACTTGCAGCTGTTTGTGAATCTGGGTCTTCTTCAGTGTATTTTCTTCTTTTAAGAGGGTCTTGGCAGATTCTTCAATGAATTTGCCCAAATGCTTTTAGCCATGGTAGAGATTTTTTTTTCCCCCTCAGGTTTTTACAGCAAGAAGGAGCCCAGTGTGACTGTTGTGTAAAGCAGTGCCTCCTTTTGTTTCTTTGGAAATTACTCTTAGCCTCCTTTCATTCATCCCACTATTGGCAAGCTGATGAGCTGTCCTTCCCTACTCACCCAGCTAACCCTTGCTGGAACATACTGGAAGTTCATGGCTCATCCCATTTCCTGATGTCTTCAAATCAGGATTGAATAAAGAGCACTGCAGCCAAACAGGAATTGGTTGGATTATGTCTGAGTGATCCCACTACTAACACTACCCTTTCTCTTCTCTTGTTACTGAAGAGAAAAACAAAATTTTCTCCAGGTTTGTTAATTTGATGGAAGGAGGAAGAATTGAGTTAGGAGCTTGCTAAAGTTCTTGGTGAATCAACTTTGAATTCCCTCTTTTTATCTCCCAATTTTTTTAGTGAAGTTGAGTGCTAAGATACGTACTGTGATTCTTAAAGGATTCAAATATTACTCGACATTATTTTGCATTTTTCTTCTGATAAACAGGTATTTTATTAGACTTTTTCAAAGTGCTGACTGCATCTGAAAACTGAGCAATTTGTTTTAGAATTAACTTTTTATATAATTGATAAAACTATATTTAGTGTACTTCAGTTTCCTTAATATCTTTCAGTAATATATCTGTTAGTGTAATGCCATACACAAATACTTTGTCATCTTTAATTGGAGACTTACCTGCACGGTTTTTAAGGTGTCAAAATGAATATGTAAGGATGGCGTAATCTCTTGGTAAAATGAGGGGTAAATTTCTAAAGGTAATATTTTGCAAGAAAAATTTTCCATGTCAGGGAGTTGCTTTTCAATTCCATTTGTCCTTTGCTTGATCCGGTTTGGTACTGAGTATTTTCCTCCCACCCTCTTTCATCATTGCTTTTCTGTGGTAGACTTTGTGGAAGGCAGAAAAAGTGAGAGTGGATGACTCTTACTAGTTAAACAGGAGGGTGGAGGAGGTGGTCACCACATTCAGGATGTTTTTGGTGGTGGTTTTTGATCTGACACTTAAATAAATGTTGTTTGCCCTGAAGAAGGGGAGGAGAGAGGGAAGCTGGAGGAAAAGCCATGCCTGCTTTCTTGCAGCAGCCCCACTTGGCCTCTCTACCCCAGAACCTGGGTGACTGTGGCAGGCAGCCAATTTGAAAGCATCCTCCCCCCAAGAAAGCTTGAAATGTGGAAGAGAACAGATGATTCTTATGGTATTGGAAGACTCATGCCAGCCTCAATCAATTACAAGTCACTTGTGTAGACATATTGAGAACTGGCAATGTCTGAGTATTACGGTAAATAATCCAAGAAGGATTAGATGTAAATGTGCCAATAAGAACGCTTTCAGTTCCATTATGGAAATAAGTTATGGTTATATGCTACTGTTACCTGGCTTAAACATTCTCATTTAGTGGCTGATTTAGGAAGAGAACACAATGTGAATGGTGTTGCAAAATCGTTAAGATTCCTTGATTCCTCTCACAGAACGTGTTGTTTGATGCTGCTGACCTTAGCCAGAAGAGGTAAGATCAACGGTCCAGTTAGTGCATGGACTAATATAAACATTTCTGAAGTGTAATGTAGACTAAAATCAAATGCAAAACGCATGTAATGTGTTTGTGCAAGCATGCCAAAACGTTTTGTTTCTATGAGATTTTTTTTTGAAGTAAAAATAGCATTTGTTTGACAGTAACGTCTGATAACTGAAGTCAGTCTTCGGTATATTTTTCTGAGGAAGCTCATTTGATAGGAAAATGCAGGAAGCGATATTGCCATCCATCATAAATGTTATCACAGTGAAGAACCACGATCATTTCATGTCCGTCTCCTTTTAAACAGAGCTCCATCTGAATTTTCCTCTCGCTGGGGTGACGTCTTCCTAAGTTCTCCCGCGGAGTTTTGCGCGTGGCTCGACGTTTCCCAGCCACGCTTGCAAAAGAAGATGCTGTTCCTTTAAAACCAAGTGGCTCATGGAGTTGTTTTCACTGGCGCGCAGGTTTTTTGTTTTTTTTTAATGTGGTACAGTTCTACTCCATGCAAATGAGCTGCCTGCCCTCTCCGGAGCGCACAAAGGCGCTGCAGACCTCGCTCGGCACTCACTTGTTTAAAACGGCAGATGGAAGGAGGGACGGCAGGATGAGGATTTATTAGCTGCTCGCAATAAAAGACCACACTCGCTCCGCGGAGGATCAGAGAGAGCCTGGTGAATGGGATTGAGTTGTATCTGCCTTCAGCTGACTTTACAATGATGCGTTTAGCTCATGTGACTCGGTCACTTAGCAGGAAGATCAGCTGAAGATTGCCGTGTAAATCTCTATTCCTTTAAGCACCGCCAACCTGTGTGCTTGTGTCGAGACTTTTTTTTTGGTGTTTTGTTTTTTTTTTTTTTTTTGTTTTGCAGCTGTCATAACTGTGGGAACAGGAACACTCCATCGAGCTGTGGTAGGCAGCCCGCGGGCTGGGCTCTCGTTGTTGTTGCATTTGCACACTTGAGGATGTCTGGCTGAAATCCCCTCATAAACACAGCTCTCGATGGAGTTTGATTTTCTTTTATATATACGTCTCATGAGATTCGTCAGAGCCTTGAGTTAGGTTCTTTTTAAATACAGTGTTTATATGCAGAAGTTATAAATAGACTCATCCTAGGATTTTTATCAGGAGATGAAATCTGTTGCTTTAGATTTCTGCTAAAGAATTTGAAGGTTGTTGCAGCAGTAGGTTGTTCATTATATTTGCAATATTTTCTTTTTTCCTTTCTAATATAGAAAGGGCGTATGTAGGACAAAGGCTTCTTGACATGCTCAGTAATTTAAATAATACTGGGATGAACATACCTAGACCTTTATTGAAACGGTGTTTGGTATAGCTAAAAGCTTTATTGTTGTTTTATTTTTCAACACATGCTATATGCTCGTGCTTTAAAATGGGATTGGCATAATGTACCTAAAGGGGCAAAGCCTTTTTTGACCTTGCTGGAGTTGTCTGTCTGCAGGTAGCTGGCAAACAGAAACTGCAGGACAGACTGAAAAAGCCTCAGCTGAACTGTGGGGTTTTTTCCTTTTTTTTTTTTTTCCTTTTTTTTTTCCCCTTTTTGCCATGGATGACGATGAGGGAAGGGCTTCTTCAGACAGCTCTGTCAGTGACGAATAGATGAATGAATTCTTAAACGTTCAGAACTTGCAACATGTGTTCCAGACCCTTCAGCACATGAGAGTCGCAAGATCTCAGCAATGAGCTGGAGAATGTGCCGTGTCTGCTGCAGATGGAGGAGCCCAGCATACCTCAGAGATAGCAGAAACAAAAGAATGTGTGACAGGATCTGAAGAACCTGACAGTCGCTTTGTCTTGCAAAGGACTAAAGGAATTTTTTCAAAATTTGGAAAAATAAAATTTCTTTTTTTTTTTTTCTTTCACAGTGAGATTTTTTTTTCCTGTGTTTTAGATAGCAGTGTGTCCTGTGTGCCCACAGCATTGCTTTTTTAGTTAGCGTGACTGTGTATTTTTTAAAGGAAATGTGACCTGGATTTTGTGAGCTTATTATACACAGTAAATGAAGGCAGCTGTTTTAGTTTACTGATCCCTTATAACAGCTCAAGTAAATTGAAATAAAGCAAAAATATGTGCGCCTGGGATCTGAATTAAATTCCACTCTTTGGCCTTACACGGAGCCGTGGATTATTATATATTTGTAGACAGTTGTGTGTATGAGGGGAACGAGACATCCAACCTTGAAAAGATTTAGGAAAGTCGAGCAGCTTTTTCCCAATGTGACCTGCTAAATCTGCCACAAAGAGGCAGGCAAAATTACCTCCAGATAGTCAGAGACCGTGGCTGCAGCTCTTCATGACAGGCAAGTGCAAGACCAGGCCCTATTTTTAGCAAGTGGTCAGAGGGGGAGTTAAGGAGGAGGGGGAAGAAAACTTTGAAAATAATGGACTTCTTTAACAGTTAGAGAGCAAAGCCAGCCAGAAGCAAGTGAGCTTTAGTGCTCAGCAGTTGAAATATGGATGACTCGAGTATTCTTCGAAGAAGAGGGCTGCAGGTGAGTGTAACTTCAGCCTGCTTTTATTTACTCTTCTGCTTGTAATGTTGACAGTCTCGTAAAAATGCTGACAATTGTTTGGAGTAAATCAGGTTGACTGAGTACATAACAGCGATGCTGGAATTTGAGGTTTTCTGTTTTCACCAAGTGTGTATTTTGTGAACTAAAAGCAGGCTTTTGTATAAAGTACAAAATACATTTTTTTTTTTTATGTCTTGGTTTTTATCCAATAATTTTGTGAATGTTCCTGTGGCAAGAAGTGAAGTCTGAACTATGAGGCTAACCTTGTTTTTCAAACTTCAGTTTTACAGACACATATAAAAATCTGTTCAGTGACTTTTCAGACTTGGCTTAGAGTAGCCATTTTAGTTAAGCATTATCTAAAAATTAAATGTCAAAGTAGAGTGAATATTCTCTTTTATTTTAGATATATGCTTTTTTATTGCCTCAAATGCACAGTAAACCCAAAACCAGAATGTAGTTCAACAATGCAAATAATATTTATATTTTACTTAGAACAACTATTGTTAAGTTCAAATAAATATCTAGTTTGTTTTGAACTTGAACTAGTGAAGTTTTATTTTGTACTGGTGCTGTGGAAGTTTTATTCAGTTGCAGTGGAATGACTAACATGGTAATCCGTGCCAGTGTCAGTGGTGTGTGATGACTGAGCTGATGCTTATGGAGTAAAACTGCTGGAAGGGAGTGAGCTCCAAAATTCTGTGTGAGCTGGGCATGGAATAGATTAGTGCTTGAAAGCACAGTATTCTTTTTTCCCCCTTTGCATTGTAATGGGATGGGATACAGCCTATTACATACTTGCTAGCATAAGTAATTGTTTATAGACCATGAACGTTGCCTATTAAATTAACCATGCCTGTCCTTTTGTTTAACTTCCTTTGAGGGAAAATAAATCTACCGTTTTAACATGCTGCCATTCATACCTTAGTGATGCTATAAGGCAATTACAGAGTAATTATTGCCTTATGTGAATATGATCCATGTCTCACCTTTTTATATTTTGTGTATATTTTCATTTTCCTTTGTGCCAGCTTATTAAAATCACAGGAATAGCTTGACACTGTGTGCTGTGTATACCACAGTGACAGTGTGTTATGATAGTGCATTTCCTCATCATAAAATCAGCTGTATTTACTTTCTGTATAACTGAGTATACAGGAATAAGTAAGATGGTTTTGGGATAAATTTTCGGATAAATTGATGCTTGTTTTCAATTTACTTAATTTGAGTTTCATAGCCAAGAAGACTGTTTCTGACTACAGTTAATCATGAATTTTTTAAGCCCTTTTAGAGCTTTCCTGAGCCTAGCATTTCTCTGGGATGTTGTATCTGTCTGACATGTCAGGGAGTGGTTTTTATGGTGATGCTTCAGGGAACTATTGGAAAAGGAGGGGAGGTTGGAGGAGCCCAAATGTGTCAACAGAAGACACTGCTGGGAATGAGGATGCATTTCTCTGGTTTAACTCTGTGTAGTGTGGTGGAATTTGATAATTCTGGTGGTCTTGAGTATTTATTGTCTCTGTGTGGTGTTGTGTCTTTGCACAGCCGGGTAGGTATCTATAAATCCACATATTTATATATAGGTGTAATTAATATCTCCATCAAAAATGCTTTGGGAACTAAGAAAATATGCTAAAAGGAATTAAGGCAAATATCCATTAAGTCCAAAGGAAGTTAATGCTGAACCTTTTTTTTTTTTTTTTTCCTTCCCTCTGTATCTTGGAGTAAATTTTTTAGAAGAAATTGTGGCTCAGAAAAGTGACCATTTTATAGTCAACTTCAACTTTGGCAATTAGGAAAAATTTAAAAAGCTGTTGGGACTCTGTCAAAGCATTACATTTAATTACTTTCTGTGCAGGGCTGGGTGATAATAGTTTGGAAAGCCACTGATGAGAAAGTTTCTTAGTTCAAACTGGATGTTGATGGCTTCATAAACGAACATCCCAGCCTAAATTAGGTCCTCTAATCCAACCCCTCCACTCAAAGCAGCACTAATTCCAAAGTTAGATCCAGTTGCTGAAGGGCTTGTCCAGGCTGGTTTTGAGTATTTCTAGGGATGGAGATTCCTCAGCTTTTCTTGGCACCTGTTCTGGGACTTAAATCACGTGCACTGTGAAAATCTTGTTTCCTTTATATTTTGATACAGAACACTTGCCCCAGCCTGTTAGTGCTATTTCATGTCATGTTTAAAAGTTGACTATCGAGGATTGACTGGGATGAACAAACTGATTATCTCAGTGCCATGTTGTCCCTCCTCCCCAAAGTCTCCTGTCCCCACCCTGCTTTTTAACACAGTTGATTTAGACTTATTCTCTTGTCAAAACCAATTCTTTTTTCTCTGTTAAATAAACAATTTACCATCACCAGCTCTTCCTGTTCTTTAGCAAATATATGCATGTGTTTTCCTTGTGCTTCTTGTTACCTCCATTACCTGCAATGCACTTGATGTCACTACTGTGATACCTCCTCTTCCTGGGAACTCCCTCTGCAGTGATCCCTGCAGTGAATGGCAGGTGTTTTTGTTTAGTGAAATGTGTGGAAATTAAGGTCCAGGAGAGGCAAATAAAATGTTCTGTGTAAATATAACTATATATACACATACAAATATACATACACATGATGTGCTCACACAGGATGTAGCTGAGTAATAGCAATGAGAGAAGACTGAGAAAGAGCTTCTAATAATGGAATAGTCTTTTAATTTCCAGGCTTTCATTTTAGATAATGAACTTGGACTATTGATATAAATTACTGCCTAGGGACAGGTGCTAATGCAGGTGGTGGAGATGCTTCTGCTGCACTCTGTGCAGAGATCTGTATTTGGGTTTTTGTAGTTAGTGGTGATGTAAAATACATTGTGATGTTAGTCACAAATGTTAGGAGGTTACCTGGGTTTGTTATTGTTCCATGTACATGTGAATTATTTGTTGTTGCTATTTTAGTGCAGGTGAAAAGCAGTAGTACCCAGTGAGATAAACTTGAACCCTGTGAAGATAAACTTCTATTTTGAACATCATTTGTACTAGAATATGGTTATTTTTGGGGGTTTTATTTGCACTGCTGGAGCCACTGCATGTGTGCTTTTACTTTTCTCACACATGCAAGAAATTGGTTATTCTACCACCAAAATCCTGATCAGTGCAAGTAAGAAAATTAATGGAGAATGTGATATTCCAAATTTCAAATACTTTCATGGAGATTATATTTTATATTCCTGGTACTTAAGCAGTGCTCAGATGTGATTGGACTTTGTCATCACCACAGTTCCCTCCATCCACCTCTTCCTACAGAGTGATATCCCCCTCTTGCTTTCTGCTGGAATTTGGGCTGGGTTCAACTAGATAATTCACTTTGTGGGACTGTTTTTGTGCTGGTTTCAGTGCAGATCTGAAAGACAAACTGCACCACAGAACTTGAATGTGTTTATCTTGGCTGGTGTTTTCTGCTGCACAGCATGTTTGGCTAAAATATGATATACATATAAAAAACCATACCCCTTCTTCTTCTCTCCCCCAGTAGAATGATTTATTAATTCTAAAGATAAAACTAACATTTTCCTCCTGGGGGCAGGGGGGAAATAGGGCATGGAGAATATAATCTCAGAATATTCAGTGGACCTGTTTTTGAATTGATTTATTTTACTCTAAGGGCTGAGCACTTTTTTTTTTTCATAGGGAAATGGACTCAGAATCAGTGGTAACTCTAAGCTTTGATATGTTCAACAAGAGAAGGTTTGCTGTACTGTACAGTTTAAACCTTCTCTGGTGCATCTTTGCTCATAATTTAGAGACCCTGAAACTCATCATACTCATCAATTTTGTTTCCTAAAGAGTGTCTTTTAAAATTACTGGAGATATTTTTTGCTGGCTACAAAGTGGTCACAAGATCCGATAAGGATGCTGTCAGTAAGAATGTTGCTTTTTACAGTATTTTTATAAAAAGTTTAAGGTAGAAATTGTGCTTTATAAAGGAAAAGAAGTTGTTTACGGTGATTTGGACTCAAAATTTGATTTTTCTGGTTTGCTTTTGAAACATGTATTAACTGAAAGATGAGTATGTAAATTTTAAACTGAAGGTTAACTTTAAGTTTAGCACGATACATACACGTGTGAAGATCTTCAGATGTTGTGAGCCTCTTGGGCTTGAGTTTTTGGAACAGGGTAGGCTGCTATGGAAAATATATTAACAAGAGTTATTTTATACTGCTCCCAGATTTACCAGGCATATAACTGAACCCACAGGTCAGGTGTCTGCTGAAAGGCTTCCAACAGGGATGATGTGGGCAGTCACCAGTCATACTGACATCTGAAGAAGGGGTGGTAACACAAGAAGATAGATAAAAATGATTTATCTAAGATACTGAAATTATTTACTTAGAATATAAGAAATTGCACACTGTTTTTCTTTTAAAAAACACTAGTTTAAAGAAAAAGTAATATTTTCATGTTAACTTCCAAAAGAAACAAGGCTTGGTTCCTGTTCTCCCAGTAAATTCTCAGCACCTGAAATCAATTAAAATTTGGACTGGAGAAGATGTCCAAAAGATAGTCTGAAAGTTCTTCAGCTTCTGTGGAAATCAGCAGCTGACAGGAGGAGCAGGATGTGTTGTGGTGTTACCAGTGTGGTGAAGGGAAATGAACTCAGATGTACAGAGGCTGAGCTGTGGGTGTGCAGACTGGCTGGGCAGCGTGCACTGTCATTGCCCAGGAGTGTCTGGAGGGACATGAGTGAGGAGAAGAAGGATTGGGGAACACTGAATGTGGAGGAATGGTTGCTAGAATTCATTAACTAGATTGGTCATGAGCAACTTGTTTTGACTAAACTCAGTCAGTGGAACCAAACTGTGAAGTTTTATTATAGGAGTCTGTTGTGATCTTGTGCTTGGGTGCTGTCTATTGTAACGTGAAAATTGATTGTTATGATGTGGGTGAATATGCTACAAATCATTGTAGGACTGAGGATTCATGCTTAGAAAGGCT